AGAGTCTTTTAGATTTGAAATATTTACTTACAAGTGACTTAAAATACCTTGAAAAGTGTTATTCAAAAAAATCAATGTTGCTCTCTCCCTGGAATTCTTTATAGACACATTTAGTATTTCCAATGCACGGGGCTGTTTACTACAGTCATTTATTGAAGTACTGAACTTTCCCTTTAAGCATATGTAAAATGTGTCAAGTGATACAAAATGCACTTCAGTGTCTTTAAGGGATATTTCCTATAATTGGTCCACAAACTGAGCTTTGGGCTGGTTGACACAACACGCTCATAGTGCTCAATGCAAACACGGCCAGGGAAAGCAACGTTAACTAACACCTCTGGTGACTATCTGGTATGTAATGAGAAATGTCAAGTCCCAAGATCAATGAAGTTTCAGACTCTGGGGACACAACAGGAATAGCATTGATCCTTTTAAAGAAACCAGTCAAAGGCTGAACGCAATATATTGCACAGATAGGCTCAAGAGGATAAGCGGCCAAGTCCAGCATACCTACATGACAAAAAATTCAATCAGCTCTTAGCACAAGCTGCTGGCTCCATTCTCCTTCTTTTCATGCAAGGAGAAGGTTCCAATTAAAGTGTGCAAATTAATTTTTATCACTTCCAAATTAGTTTCTGAATTTGTGTCGGTTTCAGAAGAAAACATCTGTCCTTCACTTTCGTTGTTGCAATTTCAGCTATTTGGGTATTTGCTCAAAGATTCAGATTTTCCCCTCAACCTTTGTTTTTTGTTTTTAAATGTTTGTGTGTCTGTATGATATAGCAAGTCATCTATTTAGTGCAGGCTAGAGATGCAAATGAAATGATGCAAATTCATAGTCAGAATTAGATTCACCAAGTTATGGAAATGGTTTAGGTGGAACAGTTTAGTAAATGGTATAATAAACACCGGTTTTCTCTAACTATTACTTTGCATAGCCTGATCCAAAATAGTATCTGGCACAGTGATCCAGGATATCAGCACTTCACATGCCCCAACTTTTACAGGCAGTGGTAAAGGTAAAGGGACCCCTGACCATTAGGTCCAGTCATGACCGATTCTGGGGTTACGGCACTCAGCTCACTTTATTGGCCGAGGGAGCCGGCGTACAGCTTCTGGGTCATGTGGCCAGCATGGCTAATCCACTTCTGGTGAACCAGAGCAGCGCATGGAAACGCCATTTACCTTCCCGCCGGAGCAGTACCTATTTATCTACTTGCACTTTGACGTGCTTTTGAACTGCTAGGTTGGCAGGAGCAGGGACCGAGCAACAGGAGCTCACCCGGTCGCAGGGATTCAAACCGCCGACCTCCTGATTGGCAAGTCCTAGGCTCTGTGGTTTAACCCACGGCGCCACCCGGGTCCCTTACAGGCAGTGGACCCTACTCCAAATACTGTACCCTCCTATCATGAAACCTCAAACTGCAGTCTGCACATAAGGGCAAAAATGAATGGGGCTGGGGCATGGAAGGTGCTGAGAATCTATACAGAGCAGCATATTACAATAGTTCAATGCTGTAACAGATTTGCCAGTCCTATTGTGGCAAAAGCCAATACAGATTCCTAGTTGCCTAAATAGCTTGCAGTTTCCACGGAGGCCCAACTCCCTCCATGTGCTACCCAGTCCAGAGAATCAAATTTGTTACTTTAAAAAATGTAAACTCTTTTCTGCTGGAAATTTTCAAATGTAAGAAGCTTTCAGGGGTTCCAGCTCCAGGGAGCCAAGGCCTCCCCACCATATTTTTGCGTAGGAGCCAGCCCCACAATGTCCACAAACTGTGGAGGTGAAGCATGGAGCTGATCGCAACACAACTCCAGTGGGCTGCTCCTTCCCCTCCTCCTTCTGCTGTGGCCCTCCAAAGGTTTGTAACATCCTTCTGCCGGTGGTGGTGCCAAGAGGAGAAGCAGGAGAATGAAGCCGCTGGGTTGTTGTTGTTGCTGGTTGTTGCACACATTAACTGGCACATGCTAATACCCCTCACGGTGCAATTCCATATATGTCTCTTCGGAAGGGTTCAGTGGGGCTTGTCCCAGTCCCAGGTAAGTATTGTGCATAGGATTGCCTCCACAGTCTCGTGAATTGCAGAAGAACTAGCAATGGGGCATCTTAACAATGTATATGCCACTAATTTAGTTTCTCTTTTAGAAATGATCATAACCAAAAATATGGAGGTGAAGCATGTGTCATGTGTACATGCACATGTATGTAAAATTTCAAAATACAGGTTTACAAGTGCTGATTTACCAAAATAAGGAAAGGAGAGACCCTCCTTTATATGATTTTCTGAAACAACTGAAGTTCCTTTTAGTAATTGGATGCACTGAAGCTGAAATTGATAATTAACTGTCTTTCAGCTTAAAGGATCATTAGAAAGTCAAGCACCTAGCTCACATAATTACTGTAACCTGACATTTTTCTTTTGAATTCCTTACCTCCTTATGCTCTGTGATATAAAATATCTTATCTGTGTCTCCAGATGACAGCTTTTGAGAAACTAATCCTTTTCTGAAAATATCATCTGCATCTTCCTAGAGATTCATTTTAAAGATGTTAACTAATTGGATTTAACCTACACTGTACATCTCACTTTCATTTTTCTTACAAGATAAGCCCTAATCTCCTGGCAGTAAATGTACAGGAACTGTAAATGTTACAAAGAAATATTTCTTAATATAACTGCTCTGTTGACTTAACACTGTGTTGCCCAGTTTAAATATAAGATCTGGGGTTGACCATACTGCCATCACAAGTGGTGGATACAGCCACTAGTAAAATAAGTGGGGAAATCCAGTGAATTTACAGTCATAGGTCAACAATGACAGTATCAAGGAAGTATGATGGAATTAGTTGGGTAGCACTACAATCTTCATGAAATATCAACAGATCACCTTGCTGGTCCTGTGGCATGGCAGATGAGGAGCGCCATATATATTGTTCCTGCACTTGTGGCCAGATGCTTTGGACTACAATTCCCATCCGCTACAGCCAGCATGGCCAATGATCAGGGATCATGGGAGGTGTAGTCCAACAATATCTGGAGAGCACCAGCTCTAGAGAGAAGTGCTGGATTACCAAATACAAAGAGTAGCACCAGCCTATGGGCTGCAAATTTTTTAGGGGCCCTGTGACAAAGGTTAAAATATATTGATTTGATCTTGAAATAAAATTACAATCAATGTGATCCCACTCGAGTGTGCGCATGAGGGGGACCCCAAGATTTTGACTGCCTAGGGGCCTCCACAGGGTTTAATTTGGCACTGCTGGAGAGATCATGATGGCTGAGGTAGTAAACACTGAGGGGGTGGGGGTGGGAATAGAACAAAGCCACAACAGGAAGAAGAGGAACAGTCCATGTATTTTCAACAAACCTCTGCAAATAAGTAACATTCATTGTTGGATTTTGCCTGTAAAGTCAAGTGGATGACTCAAATATTTAATTTTACATATATGTGTGTGAATTTTATATATATATATATATATATATATATATATATATATATGTTAAAAGGTTATAAGAAATTCAGCAAAATACAAAGCTATATGACTTATACTTGGGGACAATTTGAAAAGGCTACTTAAAATATCATTTAGGCTCTATAACTGCTTGCTCCGTTCTTCCCAAAGTGGCAAGCTACCTGGTCTTATGCATATTATTTTTCCTATTTGATTTTTAACTTTTTAGCAAACATGTAGCCCACAATTTATGATTACTATAAAACAGTGCTTACAGAATGCGTACAAAGTTTTACTGTCATTCTAAATGTAAAAATTGATGATTAAGGCAAACACTACATACATGCATACATAAACTACAGAAATTTATGAACTTACTGCTATTTGGATTGTCACCAATGATATGATGTCGGCCACTCCAGTACCACAGCAGTAATGTAGCATCACGAGAGCCAGAGACTATGTAGCAGTCTCCGCCGATATAAGATTCTGATCTTGCAAGGCAAGTGACTACATCCCAGTGGCCAAACACAATCTGAGTTAGCTTGCCTACAACAAAGAAATGCTGTGTTACTGATGTTTTTGTTTTAGAGCATTACAAATAGAAATGCAAATAACTGTAATGCAAGGCCTACCTGTTTCTGTGGAATAAACTCGAAAGCTCTTGTCCCAGAAACCACAGATAAGAATGTAGCGATTATCGGCTGTGACCACAAAACAATGAGCATTGATCTGAATGCTTTGATCCACAAGATCTGTGATTTGTCGTTTGTTCACACCAGAATTGTTAGCTGCCAAAAAAGAAAAAGCAATTTCACCATTTAATTTTGGGAAGATGGACTTAATGGTAACATGGTTATCCCAAGCTTTTAGAAATCTGAAACTAATAGAAGTAGAAAGATACATCATAAAACTGGGAAGACAAAATGGCCATAGACTCACAACCAACCTCACAACCTAGAAAAGATTAACATGCCTTCAGACCAAATAGTTCCTGATGATGCATGTCTCAGGCTCCAAGGAAGGCAAAAAGAATTCTAGGGCTACTGATCAATCTGTCTCAGAGGAAATTGCTTCCTTATCTCAAAACCCACCCTTAGTTTATTTCAAAAATTCCCCTCTGAGCTACCCCAACCTCTTGTCTCCAGGGCTGGAATCATATGACAGCTAAGTTTATAGTGGCTTAGTTTATTAGTTTATAGTGGCTAATTTAAAGCATTCTGCAGGCAATTCTAACCATATGAAGGTTTGTCCATTTGTAGTCCTTGGCCAAGTGGTAAACATGGAAGCTGAGGGCATCATAATGACTGGCTCACTGCATGGCCATAGGGAGAAAAAAAACGATTGTCTTTCCTTCAGGTTAGAACCAGAACCTGGTTTATGTATCCACTATGGGGTAAACAATTCTGTGATTCCACCCCAAATGTGATAGGTTTTGATTTCCAGATGAAGTGGGATGTGGAGAAGAAGCCTTAATTTGTCCAATGTAGAAGGCATCCAACAGGCTTTATAGAATGCAAACATGTTTTTCCATTTCCATTTCCAGCTCATACTGCAATACAGTTTTCCCCACCCCAGCCCATCAATCCCTCTAGTGAATTATCCTAAGGTAAAAGACCAAGGAAACATGTAAGTCTTTATTGTTGGGTCAGATCTGTGCAACTTGGTTCATAAGCTGTGGGAGTAGGGTGATGACTGAGAAAGATTGCTTCATTGATCTGTTGCACATTGTATCTTGCTGACTGGAGAGGTTTCTTCACTGACACCTGCCTTTGTTTTCTTACACCTACATACCTATACCAGGGGGAACCAACTCAAGCAGTTTACATTTTAGATTTGGTTTGTTTATATGGTCCATTGCCCCTCCCCCCTCATATTAGTTGCATATCTTGCCTTAGCTTTAATAAGATTAAATACTAGCAATCAGAATGCGGCATGAAAAAGTTGCTTCCTGCCTCACTGCTATTGTGCACACTTCAATTCAAATAAAAAGTAGTTTGATTGTCACTACTTATGGCCAGAGTGACTTTCATCTGCATAACAAGTAACACCCGCTGCTGTGCCAATCTAAAACCACCATCAATTCACTAGGCTAGTGTAACACCTTTAACATAAATTGATGCAATTATTAATTTCAATTATCAATTATTGTGCCCCATCCTATAAATGTTTTGCCAATTTCACAAATGTGAAATTGTTCATCTTCCAACAAAATTAGGCAGCTTTGTGGATTACACCAAGTTATTCAGGATGATAAAATCCCAGCAAACTGTACTGTTTTCTCAAACAGGGTGCATAACCAACAAATGAGATTTGACGCATACTGGAACAAACAAACAAGAAATAAATTCTAACTTCAAGTGCACATAGTTAAGATCTAAGATGGCTATGCCAACCAGAAAAGAGTTCTTGGGCTTATGGCAGCTCAATGAAAATGTCATTTCAGTATGCAGCAAAACAGATGGGCCACAGATTTAGGGCAGCCTTCTTCACACAATGCATAATTAATTTGCAGAGCACACAATGCAGTGATGGCTACTACATTTGATAGATTTAAAGAGGGAATTGAACAGATTCATGGATGATAGGACTATCACTGACCACTAAAGGGACAGGTATATGGAACTTGCATATACACTTCTGACACCAGTTGCTAGAGGCAAAGAAGCAGGGATAGCTGTTATCTCTTTGATATTAAAAACTGCAGTGTTTTTCATTCTTTAAAGCCAGGGGTGGACAGTAACAAAGGACGCTTCCTTATACTGAGGCAAACCACTGGTCCATTTAGGACAGCATTGCCTGTTCTGATTGGCAGCAGAACTCCAGGGTTTCAAGCAGTAACTTTTCCTAAGAGAAAGGAAGAATTGAACTAGGGACCTTCTACATGCAAGGCAGATGCTGTATGGTCCTTCCCTCCTCCCTGAAGTCTTCTAATTCATTATGAAGCACATTCACTATGTTTTGAACACAATCACGTTCTAATAAACATACTTTATATTCTCTGACATACCAATCAATGGGTCCATTTCGATGGGAAGATGATGAGCTTGATCCAAAGAATATCCTGGGGCTCCCCTGAGGCCTACATGGTAAAGGAGAGAAAAAAGCCAGTGAGGACTGTGCAAGTGTTATTTCACTTCACTTTAATGGGTCTGCACTGCAGGGTGATCATGTTCCTATTTTTTACCTCTTCAGGTTAAAAAGATGTTGTCCTACTTTGAACAGCAAGAAATCAAGGGAAGATGCACAAATATTTCAAAGTAGAAAAATGGACACCATTTTGCACTACCTTCTGGCCCTGAGCCCACTATGGCCTCCTGGTTCCTGGAATGTTCCACTTTTCCTTAGGACATCCCTATTTTCATTGGAGAAATGTTGGAAGGTATGGAGTTATCCGACCCTCAAGCCGTCTGAAGGCAATCCTATATAGGGAAGGGTTTTTTTTAATGTTTAATGCTTTATTATTATTTTATATATATTGGAAGCTGCCCAGAGTGTCTGGGGCAACCCAGTAAGACGTGTGGGGTATAAATATTAAAATTATCATTATGAAATGGGACGTCTCCATTTTCATTGGAAAAATGCTGGAGGGTATGGGAGTGCTGGTCTAAACTGAAGTTGAGACAGCAGACTATTATAGCAAATTGGTAGGATGTCACTCTGTAAACATTACCCCCTAAGCTTTGAGAGAAGAGGGAGGCCATATGCTACCAGGCCACTGAAAAACAGTGTTCTGGGCTCCCTTTCCCAGGGAAGTGTTGCTTAAAGCAGAGGCAGGGAATCCTTTTCAGCCTAAGGGCCACATTCCCCATTGGACAATCCTCCAGAAACAAAAGTGACTTCTAGTAGACTACATTGCAGCTGGGCAAAAGTCAGAGGTTGCCTCACTCACATACCACAGATCTCTCCATCCTTGTTCTAGGCAGGTAAGAAGCACCATCACTGTTCAAAGAGACATTTAGTCAGGCAAAAGTACTCAGAAGGATTGGCCTGTGGGATAATAGGCAGCCTGGAAGTGTTCTCAAGGAGGGTCTCCCAAGCCTGAAGGTCTCCACCCTTGGCCTACAGCAAAGGTGTTGTGGTGTTCTGGACAAAATGGCTTAGAAAATCAGGCAAGAAGGGGACGGTTGGGCCAAGGATACAATAATGTTTTGTTACAAGATAGAGTGGTTCCAGGCAACCTGAGAGAGTGGCAAGACCATTCCTGAAGAAAACTACGCTGTATCCAAATATCTAATTTTAGACCAGTGGAGTGCATTGCTATCAGTGCTGCTGGTGATATGTACTTCTGATGAGGCAGTGAATGTGCTGAAACTGTCTGATTGTGATAGTGGACTGGACAACAGCCAACAAACTCAGGCTTAATCCACAGAAGACTGAGATGGTGCTAGAGGGCTGTGCAGCCTGCTCTAGATGGGCACACAATCACTCAAAAAGCTTGTCTGTAGTTTGGGGGTCCTTCTGAAGCAACTGCTGTTCCTTGAGGCACAGGTGGCCTTGGTGGTGAGGAGTGTCTTAAACCAGCCTAGGCTGGGGGCTCAACCACAACCCTGTCTGGACAGGCATAACCCGGCTGCAGTAATCAATGCTCTGGTAACCTTAAGATTGGATTACTGCATGTGCTTTATGCGGGAGTGCCTTTGAAGAAGTTACAGCTAGTGCAGACAGGCTATACTGCCGACAAGCTCAGGGTAAATTGATAATGTAATATTGCTTTTGGCACAGCCGCACTGGTTGCCTGTACATTTCCAAGCCTCATTCAATGTGCCTCTCCAAATATGAACCTTTGGTTGTTATGTGAGGCCCTCCCCTGGGTGCATTCTCAGAGGGTGGAGACCACTGGAAGGTCTTTTCAGTTGTAGCTCCCTGCTTGTGGAATGCTCTCCCAAGTAAGGTCTGCTTGGTGCCAACATTAACATCCTTTCAGTGCCAGATAAAAGCTTTGCTCCCAGGCATTTGACGCATCACAATAAATGTTCTGATGTTTACTGATGAAATGTTTTCTGCTGCTGACGTTTCTGCTGTTTTGGTGTGTCTGTGTATGGGTTGCTGTTGTGGTTTTATTCAATAAATAAAAAGTCAATAAATGATAACAATAAAGAATTTACCGGTACTTGAATGTATTGTTTTCAATTTTATGCTAGGTTTTTGGCTCTAAACTGTGGACTAGATATAGATAACCCTCGGGGTCCCTTCCAACTCTACAATTCTATGTTGCTTAGAGAGGTTTTGTAGTAAGTAAACAACAACAACAACAACTAAAACAACTGAAGTATAGCAATAGTCCAAATAACATCTATTTGCAACTAAAAGAATTCTTTGTGGAAAGTTCAAGACAAACTCTCTTTAGGAAGACATACCTACAGTGTTGTGCCATCTATTCACTGCAAAAAGTCGGCTGCAAGTCACAGTTACCACGGCAGGAATAGTAAGATGCGGAAGCGTGTTGGCTGCCACATGTGTGACAGGAGAATTTGATGGAAATTTGAGAACCATTATAACATCCTGCTGCATCTGATCTTTAAACATAAGTGGACTCTGTGGAAGGAAACACTGTTGAGTAGAAAGGAGAAGAGAGCAGAAGAAAACAGAAGGGATAACACAATTAGTGAAGAGGTCTGAGGGGAAAATAAGGTTAAGCGAATCAGGAAGCATTTGCACATACAGGGGGAACAATGTTATATGCACATCTAAGCTACAAGAACAGGACACCAAAACTAGCAAAGCTATTGGTGGAGCATTACACAAGGGGAAATAGAGAAGAGGTATGGTTAAGGTCCATTGGGTTATCATTACAGGGTGTGAAATGATAAAGTCAGCATTAACAGAAAGAATATCTCAATAGTTACAGCACTTCATATAGTGACAGTGTCAATCAAACAGAAGCACCACTTACATCTTTCATAAGGTTTACATTATATATAATGCAGCGGCTGAAAAACAACCAGTTAACAGTTTCATAGAAGCCAATGGCAACACTGATTTTAATGGCACCCACAGGACAAAAAACCCTATACATTTTAAGAAGAAATATTGGGCTCCGTTGAAAATGGCAGCCCCATGTGCATTATGTGGTAAGTATGCATGCATGTGTGACTACTGTTTCAAAAATATTTTTTCTTAAAAAAAATCTAGTGTGGCTCCCCAAGCCCATGGAAACCGATGGACATCCCTTAGGCTCTTTGGGTTGGAGGCACATGTATGGATAACTATATAAACAGCTATTTTTGTCTTTGAATAAGAAATAAATAAAATGTTTGAAAACTAAGAGTGATGAGGAGAACACTGCTAATGAAATTTGTTTTCAGAAGCATTATGCATTCTAAGTTGACATGTAGGATTTTTAACAATCTTGTCCTTAATCTAACAATGTAAACTGCTTTTTATATTAAATAAAACATTTCAGACAGCCTTGATGACTGTTTTTAACCGCCTTCAATTTTAACCTGAAGATTGCCACTTGTCCAGTTTTAATTGTAATTTTTTGAATTAATTGTGGGGTGTACCTTAATTTATTGATCGCTTGTTTTATGCATTGTCTTACTTGTATGATGTTAGCCGCTCTGAGCCCAGCTTTGGCCGGGGAGGGCGGGATAGAAATTTTTTTTTATTATTATTATTATTATTATTATTATTATTATTATTATTATTATTAGGGAAAGTTCAGTGCTGCCAAAATTATCACTTATACTATGTTTCCTCTAAGGTTTTTTTTTTAAAAAAACTGTCAAAAACACTATACTTTGGAATTTACTGAAACTTTATTTTAAAAATCCTGATAGTTATGATGTTCCAAACAAAGAGCAAAAATAAAAACAGATCTCATTGTTTCCAGTTTTAGGTGAATAATGGATTTCTTCTTCTTCTGGAATAAATACACAAAAGAATGGATAGGAATGATTTGGGAGTTCAAACTGAAGTTAAAAGTGCACACTGTGTCCTCTCCAGAGAGTGGGCTGGAGGTTTCCCACATGATTTGAACTACAATTCCTCACTTCTGACAAGTAGCCAGTGTTCATAAATCACATAAATCATTTCCTAATGCTGCATTCTCTTCTTGCAATATGATCCCCACCATAAGAAAATCTTCTGGGCTTTTTTATTTTGCACAATAGTATTCATCAAATACATATTCATGATGAGAGGGACTTGTTAAAAGAAAACCAAGGAATTGGGGAAAACAAAATCCGTGACTGTCAAGCCACAAATTTACCATTATACTATAATCATGCAATTTATCTGCACAGAGTAAAACATACAGTGTTTGTGGGGAACTCAGGGCACATAAAGAGAAAGTGTTACTTAAATTGGTATTTTATGACCTATAAAGGATCCTCAGATTCAGAGGAAATAAATTCCCAACAAGCAGTTATATCTCACCAGGTGCATGGCAGAGCTCCGAGGCGGATGTGGCTCAATAAGCAACTGAGATGGCGTCTGTCCAAAGTTCTGTATCTGTGCCTCCATGGCCTGCAGGGAAAGGAGAGTGATTGTCATAATCAATATGCATCAAAGAGATAGGTCAACACACTCCTTGACAATGCAAGCATATCCCAAGTCAGCCATGAAAAAAGTCCAGAAAATTCACCGGGTGCTCTTCTCCCAGGCTGCAGACTCATCCAAGTGTTAGTATTTTGTAGACAAGCTTTGCTTCTCCTTTCAAGCATGCTTCAGTTAACCAACTAACCATTCCTATTTCAAGTAGCTGGAAATGCATGTGAAAATGTTAACCTGTGAGGACATGCAGTTAAGGTCTTGTGAGATTTCTCTGCACTAAATACAGCATGTGTACCTTAATAAAGTCCTTTGTAAGGAGGAAAGTATGAGGATCCCTAATAAAATAAGCTTCTGGAATCTTAAATGAAAAAAAAGAAAAAGAAAATGTGAAATAATTTTTTGGGGAAAACACAAATCTAAAAAAAATAAATACAGAAATTTACAACAAAACCAACAATTACAAATGATTCATATATCAACAACAAGGCATAAGTGTGGAAGATCAAGTATGCTATGAAAACTATTTAACGTGACATGCTTATATGAGTAATTTTGGTGTGCTTTGTTCTCACTAAGTGCATGCTTTTCTAACTAAGAATATTTAGCTGTGCCCATGATTTGGTCCACATTGTTATAAAATTTATTTTAGAAATTAAAAGGAGCAATTTAAAGCAGAAGTAGAACTTGTCCTTCAGACAGAAATCTTTTAAAAAAATATATTTATTCTAGAACAAAACCCAGAAAACTGATCTTAAATCATTTTTTTATAGTGGCCATTCCCATTTGGCTTCAGACTTGGATTTAGCAGCAAAACACTCAGGGATTTGAAGTGTGATGCCATCAATATGCTGATGACACTCAGCTTTCTCTCTCTCTCTCTCCATTTCACATGAATCGGAAGAGGCTGT